TTATTTTATTCTTTTCTTTATATTTTTACCCCTTTTTCAAATTACTTTTGTAATTTAGATCTTTGAACACACAATATCTGTAGATATTGGCACAGGTCTTAGAAATCTTTGCTAATATTTATAATTCATTCTCTTTACTTAAGTTTAATCACACCTTTTTCAATATCATATGCTTATAGTGATTCTCAGTGAAACTCACTATCCAGAATTGCTGTAATAATATGCTGAACATGATATATTAAAAGTAAATAATATCTACCACTTCACTTTCGAATTCCATTTTATATTGCAATAGTCAATTTGGAGATAGTGTTAATTAATTGCATTACTTTTGTAATTCTAATTAGAAATGAAAGGTTTACATTAACTTATCATCACGTTAAATATCAAAATCTGAAATTAATTAAATATTTATATATTCTAGAATACAATCAAAATTCTTCGACTAATAAATGATGTAACTGAGCTATTATCTGGCTCATCTTATCCAACAATTAGTAATATGCATATTGTAATGATGAGTTTGCTTATGTATTTTGATATAAATAGTGTTAAAAATGTCAATAGTCAAGTTGAAGTAGTGAGCGCAATAAAAGCAAAACTTGAAGTCTACTGGTCTTTAATTCATCAATCATCCATAATCACAACCCTTCTCGATCCATGTACCAAATTTTTAGCATTCTCTCAAGATGATCAGCCACATGCAAGATTCACTCTACAGAAAATATATGACGAATACAATTCAGATAATATACAAATAGCACTACCCAGACTAACCTTAACTCATAGCATATTTCAAGCTCTCATTCAAAGTACATCATCGAATAATTAATATAATACTTATGAAATTAAACAGTATTTTCAACTTTCACTTGAAGTGAATCATATTAATCCTCTTGAATAGTGGAAACTTTATTCTGACAATTATTCAACACTTTCACGTCTAGCCTGGAATTATCTTGCAATTTCAGCGTCTAACGTTCTCTCCGAATCAACTTTCAGTATAGCAAAACACACAATCAGTGCAGTTCAAAACAGAATTGAAGGCAAAACAGCTCGTGCTTCACTTTGTCTTAAGAGTTGAATTACAAATGAATCATTTTTTAATACGTGAGTATAAAAGTAGTGGTGATAGTTGGAGTTATAATATTACTGGTTCTGATAACAGTAAAAATATATGTAAGTATTGTGATCACTGGGAATCTGATTACTGTAGTGATTATAATATTTTTTGTGGTGGTGATGAGGATTTATATAGTCATGAATCTAATTATTGTAATAGTTACAGCTTTTTTGATGGTGTTGGTGATAAGGATATTTATAATTATTATAATATTTATGAATCTAATTATTATAATAGTAATAATAGTAATAGTGGATATAATAGAGTAAAGATATAATGAGTAAAATTATTATAATAATAAAGCTAATATTTATTTTTACAAAGATCATTTTTCATCGCTATATATTGATTAGTAGATAGTGCTATCGATTCAAACTATACCAATACCTTATCATTCATTAGACTTTATTAATACTCAACCAGGATTTGTGATCTGACTCTGGACTCCTCGCTTTATTTAAGAGCATTATCACAGATCTCTCAACATCGATACAAGGATGAGCACTTATGTTTAACTATGATGTTCACTCACACTCAGTCTGATATAGTAATATTATAGACTATATAAAATCTTAATAATCAGGATAATTTTAATAGTTATTAATGCTGAACCTTTATTTTATGTTAAGTATTATAAGGAGATTCTTATAAAATAATAATAATTATATTTTATAGCACATAAGAATTTCTTGCTGTGAAGAAAATATGGGTGACAAAAAAGTTAAATATTATGATTTAGGGGGCATCTACAAATAACGTTATATTAGAGAGGGTCATATAATAAGATGAAGTGAGATAGCAAAACCTTATGAATTTATATAACGTTATTATGGATGACCCCTTATCAATACTTATAATATTGATAATATCAATATTTATTTGAATTAATTTTAAAAGATACTGATTTTTTTATTCTGCCTTATTATGCATATCACCACCAGAAAATCTTATAGAACTATAACAGGATTGTTTTTAATATTACCTTCTGTAAATATTTAAGTATTCAAAAATTCAATGATCAATTGATTGTTGTGCTAGACCAATTCAATAGTGATTTATTGACAAAGATCTTTTTTGAAGCCAAATATTTCAGTCTTTTATTGTAATCACCAGATCTCTTTTATCAATAGCAGTTTAAGTCTCCCACCTCCTATTATAATAAAAATACATTATTAAAAGCTTTGACTAGATAACTATTTTGCTATATGGAGCAAGCAAGTTCAACCTACCTTCATTTATTAAATATACAAGAAACATATATTGACTAATCTACTCTAGAAAATGTACCACTGTTATTAAGAAAAGATATGATGTATGTTTCCATGAAACAGATTATTTATTCATGTAAAATAGTATTGACATGTCAAAATAATTTACTTTTGGATATTTTCTCCAGCATTATATTTAGTATTTCCTTTCATTTCTTATTTGAGCCACTGTATTTGGGCATACTTTTATTTTTCATTTTAGAAGCGTAAATTTTTTAATCAACCTGGCAAAACATATGCAAAAAATGTGGAAATCACAAAAAACAAATATCTAGATTTAACTTGGAGAACTAATTAAAAATATCAGGATGGAGATTTTATATATAAATCTTCCACTTTCTTGTCTTAATATATGTTTGTATTATTGGATCATCACAATATTTGGATCATCCTGACAGATGATTTAAGATCATCTGACTCATAAATTACGTTTGAGATCAATCCTATTTTTAGATCCTGGATCAGTCCTATCAATTAAGTTTTTAGATCGTAATCCAGTCCAGTCCTGATTAGGATTGGCAGTCCTCAAACCAGATCGGACCAGACGGACCAATTAACATCTCTAATAGAGATCAATCACATTTATAAATAATATGTATACGTACATTGCATCACACAGAAATAAAAATGTAAATTCAATAACGTTACATACAAACATCTGAAACTCATAAATTCTGATGCATATCGATATTATTTACCAAATTTTGCAAAACATATAAATATAATTCTTTATTTAATTAAATTGAAATAATAATGATCAATGCAATTTTACATAATGTATTTTTTTTGACTGTTTATGATGCAAATAATTTAAAACTAAAAATTTATGAAATTTAAATAAACTATTCTTTATCACTCTATATACTCTCCTTTAGTCTCAATTACATTGTTTATTCATTCAGATATACTTTTAATTAGACTAGTTAAAAAGTTATGATCTGTTTCTATCCATATTTTTTGAATAGCTTTCCATAACTTATCTTGAGTATGAACTGGATTTTTAATCTTCTCAAACATATACCTATCTCATTCCAGAGATGTTCTATAGGGTTGAGATCGGGAGATTGTGATGGTCATTCTAATACCTCAATATCATTATCATAAAACTATTGCTCTGTTAATTTAGCCATGTGTTTTGGATTGTTATTCTGTTGGAAAATAATATTATTCTTATTCAACTCATAATACTTGATAGTTCTTAACAAGCCATCATTCAAAATTTTGCAGTATAATTTCTTATCCATGGTGCCAAAAATGCGTACGATGTTACCAATACCAAAGGAAGAAAAGCAATCCCAGATCATAATACTTCCGTCATCAAATTTGATCATAAATTTTATATGATGATTATCTAGTTTATATTCTCTCTCCTCTTTGACTTTTACTCTTTTACAACTCTATCATATTATTAGTCTTTTAAGTAAATATAATTTCCATAGAAATTGGCATCAATCTTAGATACCTCTCTTTTTCTTTTAATATTTTTATTAGTCTATTACTCTTTCCCAACCCAAGTTCAAGTTTGTAAGCTAATTTAATTATTAGTAAACAAACTTGTAACAATATGTATATTTTTACATGCTTTTACATATAAAAATAAATATTAAATTCACAGAGAAAAATAAAAGAGAGAATAATACATTTTTTCTCTTTTCTTATCTTCTTATATGTGAATATATGTATAATAAACTTGAATCATATTGTTTTAAAAATGTTCATTATTTTTGTTATTTTAATAATATACAAATACAATCAGTATATATATTATCATTATTAGTTAATAGTACAAGAGGTAATCAAATAGAAGACTACAGTCATATATTGTTACTGTTTCTGTTGATTTTATTATTTTTCAAATATAAATCACATGTTCTTTACATATTTCAATTAGATAGATGAGTTATTAAAGATTCTTATATGTTTTAAGTAATTAAAGTTGGAAAAGACTAATTTAATAGAGGTAGATAATAACATATTTATTTTATTGAACTGCTAGAATGAGTTTAGAAATTTTCTTTTAATTCAAATAATTTAATTATTAAGTAATCTTTTTTTATTAATTAACTTTTTAATAAGATTATCTTCTTCTTTTATTATAAACTGAAATAATATTAATTAACTTTGCAGAATAATAATGAGAGATTAATTATATTATTATAAATAATATCACTTGTTACAGATGAAAGAGTTTTTGAAACTAAAAGAATACAAGTAAAAAAAAGAGATAATTAATACTTGACTGAAAAACTTTAACTCAAGACTTATAATATAACTCACTTTTAAGAAGATTTTGTCAAAGCAAATTAAAGTGATGAAAGATAAAAAGATATATAAAGATTCAAGTAATTGAATTAGAAGATTTAAGTAAGTGAATTAGAAGGTTGTTTTTCTAAGTTAAGATATATATTATATTTATACAAGTTATTATTACTCAACCTTCAAAGTTTAAAGCTATTTTTGATTGATATTATTATTACAAAAAGCACTTGCTTGATGATCATACATCACTTGTTTACTTGATAGTTGCACATTGTTTGCTCTAATATTATATAAATTTCATTATTAGTATTAATCAAATTAAGTTATATAGATTAATTAATATATATTGTTTTATACTAATAATAATAATATAAATTAAATATAATTAGTATGAATTATAATTAATGTAAAATGAGATAATATAAAAATAAAATGAAATAGTATAAAATAATATAAAAATATAATACAAATAAAATGAAATAGTATAAAATAAAAATAGAATAGTATGAAATATAATAAAAATAGAATGAAATAATATGAATAAAATATGGATAATATGAAATAAATATGAATATAATTTACAAATCATATGTAAATCAATTATTTAATCAAAATAAACTATGAGAAATCATGTGATATGTTAAATTCATATTATAACAATATATAATATACAAAAAGATAGAATATTATAATAATAAAATGTATATATACAAAATTTTATATAATAGTTATACATAAATTATATTTTAATGATCAGCAAATAACTTTAATGCTATAACAATTACTTCTAAATTGGATTAGAAATGGTTCAACAATTAGAAGAGATTCTTTATAAGAACTCTAAAATATAATTAGAATACTTGTAATTCCAAATAAAGATGATTTTACTCAAGATGAACTCAAATATCAAAATATAATATATTATTAACTGATAAAGATAATATTATTATAGATTTATTAGAATTACTATAAATAAATTAGATAATGAACAAGAACAATTAGAGATTAAAAAAGAATTATTAGAAATTGAAATAGATTCATTAGGAAATAATATAGATTATATTAAAAAACTTTGATTAGATTTAGAATTAGAAGATAAATTAGATAATAGAGTAGATAGAAAATATTTTTATTTATTTTTAATATTTTTTCTTTGTTTTTAATAAATATTTTTTAAATAAAGTATATAAATACCATTTCACCCTTTAAAAAGAATTAAAAAATGGGAAATATAAAAATCACAATCGTAGAAATCTTAAAAAAATGTGATAATAAAGAAACATGTAAAAAAACTATTTATTGTTTTAGAATGCAAATATAATAACAATTTAAAGAAATTGAACAAAAAATATTTATTTAAATCGAAAAAATAAATTACCGTTAACGTTAAACATTAATTATATCTGATAACATTTATTCAAACTATCAACGAAGACAAGATTTTGAACAAGCCCGACCCGAAATATTTCGGGTCAGACTAAAAAATCGTTCAATATTAAATACAAGTGTCTAGTAAAATAAAAGTTATTAACGAAAAACCATTTTACGATTTTCGGATCAAACCCGAACTGATCTGAATTTATCAGATCGGGTTGACCACAAACCCGACCCGAACAGAGTTTTATATCGGATTTAAGACCAATGAGATCTGTCTTCCAATAACAGAGGAAAATACAGTCAAACCTCGTTATAGTGAAAATGTTCGGACTATTAATGAAAAATTTTCAAAAATCCACTATATCGAGAGTTTAATTAGTCCTTCACAGCATGCACAAATTAAAAAAGCCCCAATGTGGCAAAATAATAAATGCTTTATTATGTGTATAAAAAACTGGTAAACTAATTTTTTATCATTTCTGTATGATTAGCTGTGATCTCGGATCACAGGTACAGTATTTTGTGGCGCAATGAATTTACGTTAATACATCACATAATCAATGTCATCTAAACTTAGATGATGCGATTAAAGATTTAATCCAACCTATCTTTTCTTCACCACCAATATCATTAAAAAGCTATGGTGCATAAAATCTAAAGTCATCAAACGATTGTATTTTATAAAATGTATAACTTTACTAAGAAGTAAATACAAAATTTAATTCGTGAATATGATAGAATAAGCCTTTTCTGAGCATATTCACGGATTAAAGTTTGTATTTACTTCTTAATAAAGAAGTTTATCCATTTTATAAAATACAATCGTTTGATGACTTTAGATTTTATACACCATATATGAATAATCATAATCATTAATTAATATTCATATTTTAACACAGAGTTATTAATATTATAATTACTCTTTGAGTCTTGCGCTTTGTTATTAAAAAAATATCATAACATAAATTTGAAATTTGCAAAAAACCATTTAATTATAGAACTTTATTTCACATATTTATAAAAAAATATAGGGTAAAGTAAGCAAGATTTGGATTAATAGAAGAACAATAAAAGAAAATAAATTTACAACAAAAAGAAGACAATTACTCAGAGATTAGGTTAAGGGAAGTTTGAGATATATGAATTTCATAAGATTTAATATCTAAAAATGATATTTAAGATTTAAAATCAACAAACATAGCAAAAACAAGCAAATCCCCAACCATTACGATGGCAAGCTCCAGTTACTCCTTCTTTTTTATTTTCTTCTCGACATCTACTGATACAGGAATTCTGATTGTAACAGGGTCCACTGAATAAGTGACTTCTCCATTCTTCAGAACATCGCTTTTCAAGTGGATTCTTTGGGAGCGAGTTTACATTTCCAATTGAGTTCAAGGTAACGATGGCAAGGATAAAAATAAAAAAGTAAATCCCCTTCATTGCTGCTGTTATTTGACGTTTGAGAAATTTTCTATTATAAATTCAAATTCAGGATAAGGCAAAATCGAAGACTATTTGTTTCGTATTTATAGTACAAAAATCAAGACAAGTTACATAATATCTTAACAGCAGTCAAATACATTTTTTTTACTAATCAGAAGTTTGTTGATAACTAATGGTTAAAGAAATTTGTTCAAGAAATTGACAGTGACTCTCTTTATAGTCTACACTCTTTATAGTCTACACTCTTTATAGTCTACCCCCTTTATAGTAAAGACTATATAGTGGATAATATCCAAAAACTACCTCTAATAAAATCCACTCGATATAGTACATGTACATGTAGCGATAGCTATTACCGTTATTAGCGATAGCGATAGACATGTAAATACATGACTAAATTAAGTTATATATTGTTTAACATTGTGTATGAGAAGTTATTGCATCGCAAAATTTATTTTTCTAGTGATGCATTACTTTTGAGTGCCATTGTAGTTGTCATTGTCAATATTTGCTAGTGATAGTGAGTGTCTACATGTACATGTCATGTTTATGATCTATAAAGGGATAGCAATAGTGATCCCATTAAGTTCATAAATGAGTATCACTATAGAGATTGTTAAAAAAAGTCAAAATCATGACATTATCATAAATGGGCGTCACTATTACCTTTCGTTATAGAGGTTGTCGAAAAAATCTCAAGTCAAAATCTGACAGTAACCATAATTGGGTGTCACTATAGAGATTTTTAGAACGATAACGATAATGGCATGTCTCTTTTTAGCATCGATTTGCGCATATGTACATGTCTAATAAAGGTAATAGCGCACTACTCCAATCATAAATGTCATGTTAGACAGTAGACTTTTTGTATAATCAAGAATAAAAAGAGGCAACTCATATACATGTCATGTTAGACATTATAAGGGATCCCTTTGTCCTTCATTTTCGGATCAATTCAGTAACAAGAAACTCTTTTATTGAATTCTAATCACAAAATGACACTTCGTAAAATTGCTTACTTAAATTTTGAGTTTCTGCTATATCAATCTTTGTAATAATTCCACATATACTAACAGGTATCAGAATGAGTATGAAACTGCGGTTCTCGTTTCAAGCAAGTGGATGTAAAAGAAGGTTGCTTTTCTTAACTAGAATAATGGCATTTTCGAGTAATTTATTTTGTAATTTTTACTAGTTGCCTTTCTCTTTCTTGGGTTGACTCCGTTAAATGCTCTTGTGAAATCTTATAAGTTTGCTTATTCAAGTTTATACTAGTCAGAAAATTGTTGTCATTGTCGATATCTTGTAGCTTCATTGTCAGTATTCACATTGTCACTGTATTGTTACACTCGTAACACCGTTTTAGTGATTCTCTTAATTCGGAAGGGTAGGTCCAATATTTTCTCTTTGTTCAAATGAGTACCCCATATGCACGTTCCGCATGTTCTCTTTTTAATCGCGGTTTTCTCTCTTTTTCTTTCTCAAACATTCCGTCTGATATTCTCTTTTATTTTTCTTTTGATCAAGATTTTCTCTCTTTTTCCTCGTGGATCTCTTGTTAAATATATATATTTTTTATTATTATCTTTTAATTAAAATCACAATTTTCTCTTGAACGTTTTCATTAATTTGTCTTATATCTTATCTCTCTCTTGGACAAAACTCTTAATTATATTATATGTAAACAAAAAAAATGTATATAAGAAAAGTCTACGGGCCTCAATAAAATATCGGAATTGTTGCGTACAGTTATTCTCCAAGTAAAATAAGACTTGTAAAATCTCCTCGTAGTAATTGATTGAATTTGCTGACGGTTAGGACCTTAATCCATAAAAGGCATCGTTAGAAGATCGACGACAGTAATCGATCTTGATAAAGAAACGCGAAATAGCTGTAGATAATTGAAAACCAAAATAGGTTTAGAAATTATTAAACAAAGGAAACATCTTAATATATACTTACCCAAGTCCAACGTCAAATACGATATCCCAGATATCGGCACAGGCAACACCAATTGTCGTTCAAAACTCTTTCTCTTCCAAAAACCGCCGTTTATAGGAAAATCCTTCCTTTTTAATAGACACAAAATCCACGTAACAGTTTATATATAATTATTTTTTTAATAAAGAGACATTCATTATGATTGCTTATTTTTAAAATTAAAATTCAAAAAAAAATCAAAAAATCAAAATCAATAATTAATTCGAAATCAATATCATGGTATCCAAAAAACTCATCATCGCTTTAATCCTAGCAATCTGTCTCTTCGTTTTATCTGACGCAGTACCTACTTTTGATGATGTTGTTGATACCCCTGATGGTGGTGGTGTTGCTATTGATAGATGTCCAGGCAATCAATGTCCTTGTTATTATAATGGATGTTCTGAGAAATGTTGTATTGGAGACTAAACAATAATGCTCTTGCGAGTTTGGAAAGATTATGGCGGGCAATTACTTATTATTCCTAATATTATTTATATTATGTAATAAATTTTTATTTATATAATCATAATAAATAAATTTTTAAGTTGTTTTATTGTTGTTATTAAAGAATTCAATTGACCTTGTAATAATATACTGATTATTAACTGAGATATATTTTAATAAGAATATTATCATAGGAATCTATGACATTTTTTTCGTAAATTCAGAACGATTAAAGATAATTAATATTTAATTGTTAAATATAAAGAAAAATTTTTATTATGTCTTACCTTCCAGATCATTATTATATATGTCATATTTTTTATCGCGTAATATATAATACCGATAATAATTCAATGTAAAATTTACTTTGATTATATTATTTAATTTGGGAATTAGGTAAATAATTTTTTTTATATAATATTAATTTAATTTATTTATTCTATCAGACGTGGTTTCCCGAAGATTCAATTGGAATCTTCGTGCTTCCTTCCATTTAATAATTATCATTGCTTGCCTATTTCAGGCGAAAAATAAATTGCATTTTCCATATGATCGAAAATTTTTCTGCTTTTTTCCGAGACGACCCGCCTGCAAATTTTAATCACGTGAATTTAATTTCGATGTCTGCACGATAAAAATTTTGAATAAATGTACTTTCTATATAAAAGAATGTCAAACACTCGATCAAAAATCGATTCGTTGCAAGAATTAAATTCTCAGCTTATTGCCACGATTGCTGATCTTAGAAAGGAGAATGCTGAGATTCTTGATTGTTATCGTTATGACCACATTACAATACGTAATGGTAATAACTGAACTGAGACATTTTTTATTAGCGTTAGTATTGCCATGTGTCGATCATTTTGTTATTATTTTTTGAACTTATGACGACGATTTTTCTTTTAACCAAAATAAATTAAATCAATATTTCAATAGGTGAAGTAAAAAAGACAAACTTTTAATAATAAGGAAAGGTGTGTTTATTTATGAGGAAAAAAGTTGTAGAGGGATGTAAATGGACACTTCGTCCATTTACATATAAAAATTGGAAATCTACTATCGCTACATATTAATATTCATGATTGTAATAATGATCAATGCTACATAGCCGTAGTCTAATTTCAATATCGATATGGAATATTTAATGACAAATCAACTGTCTGTCATTTTAATAGCGCTAGTACATATCAATATGTACGTACATACGTCTTTGATTTTAGCAAATTCATGACAGACAGGAGATATGTAAAAAAGAACATATGTAAATCATTAACTAATATAATTTTCTGAACTAATGAAAAGTTAACTACGTACGTACGTACATTCATAACATTTAATTTAAAACTAATAACGATACGTATAGTTAATTCTTTTATATATTTTATAAATTAGATAATTATCTTATTTAAATAATCTAATATTAATTTTCAACAATATTTTTTTGTAAATCAACTCTTTAAATATAATATTACTTTAGTTATTTCTGTTTTTAATTTATTTTTTAATTCTATATTATTTGTTCAGTTATAAAAAAATCTTGTATAATTAATTTTTTATATCAATTTGAATTAAATATTATATTAATTTTTTAATCATAAATATATTATAAAAAATAGTAATATTCACAAATAATTTGAAATTTAAATAAATAGAAAGCAATTAAAAATTATCTATTATCTATAATTGTTAAAGTAGTAAAAAAGTAATAAAGATAATTCTATTATTAATAGTATGATAGGAACTACAAATTTGTATTCTGGAAAATTAACAATCACAGTCAAAAATTAATAGCCACAGTCAAAAATTAACAAATAATATATTTTTAAATATTCTTTATTATAGTTTTTTATTGCATTTTTTTACTTATCAAAATTTTATGAAGAATAAATAAATATTCAAAGAGAAAAAAAGAACATAAATATAACAAATTTGCTAAAAATAAAAAGAAGTATATATAATAGTTATCTAATAATATTTATAATAATTATTTTTTATTATTTTATTATTTATTTTATTCAAGTTTTTTATATATAACAATAACATTTGTGAGACTGAACTAAAATCTAATTTAAAATAAATTTATTACTTTAATAACAAAATAAACATACATATTTAATATAATTAATTAAATAAAAAAATTTTAATTATAATATTAAAAGTTTGTTTATTAATTAAATAATAAATAAAATATTTAGAAAAAAGAGAGATATCTAAGCTTTATACTAATTTTTATTATAATAATTCAAAGATATAATAATAGTATAAGAGAATAAAGATAAAAAAAATAAGAGAATAATTAATAAAAAAAGTTTGAATACTAATTCTCTGTATTTGCATAAAGCTTTTTAGAGTTAAAATGATATAATTAGAAATAACAATAATAAAAACTCTTTCATTTTGTTCTCACAAATAAAAAATCAAAATATCAAAATTAAAAATAACAAAAATTCAAAATAAGAAAAATTCAAAATAAGAAAAATTAAAATACTTAATCAAAATTAATAAATTCAATAATAATATTTTGTTTGATATAATATAATATAAAGTTCATAAATTCAATAATAGTATTTTGTTTAATACTGTTACAATTATTTTCAATAATTCCGTAATTAACGAATCTTTTAAAAATAATAGAAAATATGAAAATCTTCAA